CTTTGCTCTGTGAACTGTTCCTGTGTTGAGCAACAGGATATGCACATTTTAATAAATAATAAATACAAATAGTAACAACTGGGGAAGTTCATCTAGGAGCAGTCTCTGTTGGACAGACAATACAAGAAAACGAAGAATGTCTGCCAGACCTGAATTCCATTTTAGGGAACAGCATTTTAGTATTTTGAGGCATTGCTCCAACAGCAGTGGGCTAATTTAGGTTTGAAACTGATGCACAATGCAACCAGCTGAAAATGGAAATGAGATGACCCAACTTTGGAGCACTAATCACACTATTTTTAAAGGAGGAATGTTAACTTGAAATGACATATTTCTATGAGTGTAGCAGCAACTACACACAATCACTTTCTAGCAGAGGGATTAGTCCAGCTGTGGAGAGCTCACATGCTTTTCCCTTTCAGTTGACAGTACTCCCATGTTTCACATGATGCTGGAAAGGGGGCCATAGTCCAGTAACAGAACAGCCCCAGGGAATGGAGACTATAGCTCAGCTTTACAGCAGATGCATACATGCAAAGGAGCATGAAGGTGGTGGAAAAGAAGCTGGTTGGGGCTGATAGGAGTTGTAGTCTAACATCAGGGAGGCCACAGCTTCCTTACCCCTGCCATATGCAGTGTGATTATTCCATAGCTGGTCTTTCTTGAGAACTTGGGCTTAGGGGTCACAGGACACTCACAAGAATATAGGACTAGAGCAACAGAATCTTAAGAGATTTCTCACTCCCAGGTGTAATACCTTGTTGAATCTACCTGTCCATTCATAGTAGTATCCTGTTTTTTCTCCAAGGAATTCAGGTGTAACAGTTTGCTACCAGACCACCCTCTCTTTTAAGCCAAAAGGAAAGGCACAGACTGAATTTATAAGCTGGTGACTGACTACTATCTTGTTTTTTTTTTTGTTCCTAGAGCAAAATGCCCCTTGGAATGTCTCCACTTACTAGTACTAAAACCAGTAGGATTTTGTTTATTAGATGTATTGGATTTATTTTAAGGCTGAGTGGTGTAAGGAACTATATGAGAAAGGGCAGGTATAAACCATCAATTAAATAAGAAAATAAAATGTATTTAGAATCCCTAATTAAAATAATTTAAATTAGGTATTTTCTTAAAGAAAACAGAAATACAGGCCAAGAATTAAGATATAAAAATAAAGGTAAAGTAATTAAACTAAACTTTGGCTGTATGTTGATGGTAAGTTAGTAAGTCAAGATCCAAAGCCTGCCACCTATTCCCATTCATGTCTACTCAAAAGTCTTAACAAGTTCAATAGGGTTTACTCCCAGGTAAGTTGGGATAGAATTGCAGCTTGAGTTGCTTTGATCAAAGAGTTATTATTGCATAGTTACATAAGAGTTTATGTTTTCCCATATAGAAGCAAAACTTGGGACTGGTCAGTCCTAATTCTGCAAATTCAGCTTGGATGCCTGGGATAAATGGTATTTCAGCTTAGTCGATGGCAAATTAAAAAAAATCTGATTAAAGGCCACTGTTGTAAGACAAAGTTGAAAGAAAGAAAGAAAGAAAGAAAGAAAGAAAGAAAGAAAGAAAGAAAGAAAGAAAAGGTGAGGGACTGGTGACATAATCTTAAACCAAACCCAGACACGTCCATTCTCAAGGAGCCCCACAGTGTAACTTGAGCAACTAACTTTCAAAACTCTAAGATGCACACTGATTCCTTGAACAATAGCGTATTGTCACATTTTAAATACTTACACATTTATTGCTGCACAAGCTTTTGTCTGGTGCATCTGAAGTGGGCTTTAGCCCATGAAAGCCTAGGCCTTTAAGATACTACAAGACTCTCTATTGTTTCTGCTCTAACCAGCTAACTTGGCTACCCCTCTGGAAGTAATTTCCTGAAGGAACTTCATAGGTAATAGGATTACATCTCTAACAAAGAGGTAAACAGGAACACTCTGGGTGGCAGGTTTAGCAACCAAGACTAACACAAAAGAAGGGCTCCAAATTTTATGGGCCATTGATTTGGGCAAAGGAGTCATTGTAATAACCAAGAAGAACCCTTTTAGACTTGGCAAAATCATAGAAAGGATGTTAATTAAATTCTAACCTACATTTTTCCAATAGCAAGCTCTCCCTCCACCCCTCACTGCTGTGAGGCGGCAATACCCGATCGCAGCTGCTGGGATGTTCATAATATACCAGACATTCATATTTCTACAACTGCTCAATTATATTCATGGGTGCATCTCAAATTTCTCTGTAACAAGGTATAGATTTATACCCTGGAGATTCATTTTGTCTTTTAAACTGGTATATTATGGACAGTCCAGCTATTCACCATGTTAATGAGCAAATCCATACCACCTTTTAGGGATTTAATGCAACAAAGCAAACTGTAGATATCTAATAACAGTATAAATTATAGTGATTAAATGTGGAATTTAAAAACAAGTTACAATTTTTAATATTAAAAGTATATACATAACAATTTAAATTTCTAGTCTAGAAATGATATTTTAAGTGTTAGAATATGACAAAACAATTTATGAATGTTAAGAACCATGCTAAATTGGACCAAAGGCCTATCTAGTCTAGCATTCTATTCACACTGTGGCCTACCTGCTACCTGAAGGAAACCCACAAAGAGGCAGTAGCATCCCATTCATGTTCCACAGTGAATAGTGTTGTGAATATAGGCACAGCACCTTTAATACTAAGTGTTGTACATAGTCATTGAGTAGCCACTGGCAACCTTATTCATGAACTTGTGATCTAATCCCCTTTTAAAACCATCCAAATTGGTGACCATTGCACCCCATCTTACAGTAGCAAATTTAATAAATGGCCCCGAATCTTCTCACGATTCAACTTCATGGGATGACCCTGGGTTCTTCACATTTTAAATCTTTAGTAGTGCTTTCTACCAATTCACTTGGAACAGACATTATGCTAACCAGCCTATAATTTCCAGGATCCTTTTCTAAAATTTGGTGTTACTGTGCTCACTGTCCAATCCTGACAACAGAACATCAGTAATTTCACATAGCATGGATACTATCTGGATCTACTAATCAGTTGTCAGTAAGGTCCATAACGTAATCTCTTGTCAGCACCAGTTAACTCAATTTCTCAGAATACCTTCCTGAAAGTATCCATTCAGGTATTTGCATGTCCAGCAGTAAAGACAGACAAGAAGTGCTCATTCATCTTCTCTAAAATCTTTTCATTTTCCTTTATCCAGTGGTTGAACTGCTTCTATAGCTGGTTTTCTGCTTCTAATGTATTTAAATATTTATTGTTGGCCTCAATGTTAGTAGTGATAAATTCCTCAATATAGTGCTTTGCATCTGTTTTCTGTTTGCATTTCTTTTGTGCAAATTTATATTTGTTTTTGTTTCCCTTATTTGGGCAAGATTTCTAGTTTCCAAAAGAAACTTGTTTTGCTAGTAACTTCCTTAACTTTGTTTGATAATCATTTTGGCCATTTCTTGGACTCGGTGCTATGTTTGCTACCCTGCAGCATACAGTCTAGCTGAGCTTCTATTACTGTGGTATTGAATAACCTCCAAGAATTTTGAAGGGATGTAATTCTCTTGACTCTTTTCATTTTTTTTACCAGTCCCTTCATTTGAAAGAAGTGTCTTCTTTTGAATTCAAAATGTAACTGCTGGATTTCCTTGGTAATTTCCACTGAAATAAAACTTAATAGTACTGTAGTCACCAAGTTTTGTTTTGTTTTTTAAGCAGCACTCATTTTACACTAGATCCTGCTGGCATCACTTAAAATCAGCTCCTGTATGCCAAGTCCTATGGCCATCTGCTCCAGGATGCAGTCATGTAGGATACTAAGAAACGGAACCTCTTCTGCTATGACTGGAACATGCATTTATCTAGTCAATGGGAGGGGAATGAAAATCATCCATTACATTCTTCTTAGGATGTACCATATTGATCGGGGGGGGGGGGTGAAGTTCCCTACTCTGGTCTTGATATGTTCAGGATTGCCTTCAATGTTGGTCTTCCTCAGAGTAGGCTCACTGAAATGAACAAGACTAGCATTTGATACAGTCCTTGTATTAGTGAAAACAGAAGGTCTCCACTCACATTTGTTTTAACCTCAACGTTTGAATTCAGCTACTGCCAAGGTTCCTATACAATTTTTTTTTGCTCAAGTATGATTTGTCCAAAGTAGGAAAGATCTACAAAAGGCAATATATTTTGACTACTGTGGGAATATTATGTATTCCTTTTTGTTTTCATGGCTCTGCCATAGAATGTTTGCAAAGCTGGTAAAAAGGCTTATTTTTTGGACTATGGTTGCCACATCTCTTAAGGCACTGTACCTGACGTGGAGCTGAAATCTGAACATAACAATATCTACCTGGTTAGGGAAAGGGCCTGGCTGGGTTTTGTACTTCGGGGTAAGCATCTGATTGCCACTGACAGGTGGAGCAATAATAGATACAACCCATTACCAAGCAGAATATAACCACCCCTCACCTTGCGATTAACTGCTTTGCCTGGAGACCCCGCAAAGCAGGCTAAATCCCTTTAACCTCAAGTTATTCTCTGGGACCAGGCAACTTTATTTGCAATGCATCCTGTTAGTATCTTTTCAGTGCAAGGACGACTTTGTATTTTGCTCACTGCAAGTACTGTGCAAAGGCTGTAGAGAACTTGTTTTTCAGTCTCTAGCATCTGTGTTGAGCTATGAAAAAGATCCTGCCTTAAACTCTGGAGAGCCACTACTGCCAGTGTAATCGACAACAGGGAGCCAGATGGACTGGTGGTCTGAACTGGTATAAAGTAGCTTCTTACGTTGCTTTTAAGAGCCACCAACCCCCTGGAGATACACAGAATTCTTGAGGAAGACAATCCTGCAGCCATAAATAGGATATGTTTGAAGATTCTGTAGAAAAAGTAGGGGGGGAAAAACTCAATGCCAGATTTCCACCCCCCCAGGAAAATTGGTTAGTCCTTCCACTGTTTTTGGATTGAAACTCTTATGAACTCCTCACCTCAGACTTCACTTGTTAGGGCTGATGGGAGTTACAGGCCACATGAAGCAGAGCAGTCCAAGCTATGCCACCTTCACTGGCTTCAAGATAGCTTCTGGGTTCAGTTTGAAGTACAGTCCTGCATACGTCGTTGGGACTACAATTTCCGTGAGCCTTATTCATCATGGCCTACGGTGATGTGTAGAAAGTTGCTCTCCAGCAACGTCTGGAGGGCCGCAAGTTGCCCACCCCTAGACTACAGCATCAGAGCATTTAGAGAGTTTTTGTGTATAGGTGAGTCTTTGAACACCAGAGGCCCCACCTGCCGCCTGAGGAAGCAGGGATGAGAAAGGCTCGGCCGTCTGAAACCTAGACCAGTTGTTATCGTTCAAAATTAAAACCATACTAGTCAAGAAGGGCCAAGGTTCTTGGAGACAACCAGCACCATAAATCACTCTTCTTAAAGTACGGACCAGCACACTTCAAGCGAAAGAACGAGCCTTGAGAGAAACACGCGGCCAATTTCGCCTTCGAGCAAGTTCCAATAAAGAAAAGGAGGAAGGGGCCGAGAAAAGAAAGGAAGCGGCGCTTTGCATGCTGGGAAAGGTAGTTTGTTTGATGCCGTTGCCGGTAGAATACTTTCACAGTTTTTGTCGCCGCGCCCGTCGGGCATGCCGGCCCTTGTAGTCTTTTCCCGCCGGTTAACGCAAAGCCTTTCGGGAGAGGCGCTTCCTCTGTGCAGGGATTGCCGTTCCGCTGCGGCTGAAGGGAAGGCAGCGACGACATTGCCGGAGCTGTTGCAACCGCCATCGCGTCGGCTGCTACCTCACTTCCGGGCGCGCGGCCGAGGCGGCGGCGGCGGGTCAGTCGGTCGAGCTGTTGGAACCGGCCTCCTCCTCCTCCTCCTCCTCCTCAGTGGGCAAAGGGGGGTTCACCACGGGGTTTTCTTTCCCCGCTGAGGAGGAGCCGCCACCGCCACTACAGCCACAGCCGCCGCGATGGAGCCGGAGTCGGTGATCGAGGACAAGACCATCGAGCTGATGGTAAGCGTGAGGGGCTCGGACCCCCCCCCCCCCGCTCCCATTACCACTCCCTATCCTCCTCCAGGCCCAAAAGGGAGGGAGGGAGAGCGAGCGAGCGGGGCCTTCAGGGGACGGGAGACGCCACAACGGGGTGGGGGTGCGGAAAGAGGAAAAAAGGAAGGGGAGGTGTCGGCGCAGTGGGAGCTGGTCTTTGTAGGCCTCGGTATGGGCAGCACTGCCTCCCCACTTCTTTCTCCCTCCCTCCTTCCCGTCCCCGCAGTGAGCGAAGGTGGGCGGGCCTTGCACTTGAGACGCTTCTCTCTTTTTCTCCCCCTCCTCTTTATTGAAAGAAATAAATCCATTTTTCTTCTTCCGGAACCCCATCGAAAGCGTCTCTCCTTCTCCCCCCCCCCCCAACCTCCTAATTTCCCGGTGCCTATTATGTGTACATTTGGATCGGGAGGGGTCGGGGTCGGCCTGTCTCGGTGCCCTCCACCGCCAGCCGGGCCGCATCCCAAGCAGCTGGGACTAAGCGACACAGGTGCTAGGGCCTTGCAGGTGCAGGGTCTGCGTGTCGCTCTCCTTCCCTCCCCCGACTTTCCCCCACGGACTGAAGGTGACATTCTCCTGGTTTTTCTTAAAGATGCTCTGAACAGAGTTTCCTTGTGATCGGAGAATCTAGTTTCACCAAAGGACTGGGAAGCTGCTGCGTTGAGTGCAGTGGGGTTCATCTGTTTCCAGGCCCTTTAGGATTGCAGGTTTTGATCCATCAATCTGGGTGCTGAAACATTTACAGCTATTGTAGTGTTTTAGATTTATCCTCAGTCCCCCATCCCCACTGGGCAAGAAGCAGAGACTTTGGGCCTCAAAACTGTGGAATGGCCTACTTGCCATGGAGGCTTGCACAGATGCACTGTAAAAATGGCGTTTCAAGAGAAACTGCCCCTTTCTTTTAGCAAATCTTTATTGAATTCAGTATGTACACAAAATCAAAGTGGTCAATTTATTACACTGGATAAATGATGTAGATGCTGAATTGGTTTAAAGGATTCTTGATAGTTTTAGGTCTCTTTGGGTAGTGTAGTGTCTGATCATCAAATCAGGCACTGCAGGTGGAAGAAATATGAGCTAAGATTCTTGTCAGGTTTTTGTATCAAAACTTCTTTTTTTTTTTTTTAAGAACAAAAGGCTAACCTTCAAGCAACATTTCAGACATTTTTAGCTGGCATGTGGAATTATGGCGCTTTTATAGGTTCATCTGTAAATCCACAGTAGTCTGAAAAGAGTACACACCTATTTAACATAGGTGTGTACTATGGAACAAGGTAGCATGGTAATAATTGCATAGTTTTTCCATGTGCAGAGGAGGATGTATAAATGAGTTAATTGTATTCATATTGTCCTTGCACTTCTACTCATATGAATTCATGTTATCTTTTATACACCACTGAAATGTCACCAAAAGACTTGGGAGTTATATGTTTTATGTTATTGATGGATAGATAGAATAATGCAATGATTTGCTTTTTAATGGCTTTTAGATGGATGTCCTTTGAACTGATCAATTTTGATATAAAGCAATGACATTTAATTTTTTCACAGCTTTCTTTGCTCATGAAGATTCCTTTGAAATCATTCTGGCTTTAAAAAAATGTAACATATGAAATATAATGAAAATGCTTTGAAGCATTGTTTCTTTATGGGAGATCTGTGTATGGGCAGCTCCCTATTTGTTATATCAGAGGGAGACAACTCTCTTTACTCATTCTAGTACTCACAAGTTGGAGGCAAGACCTGAATGTGAGAATTTGCAGCCCCTATCTATTGCCATATATATAAACATTTATAATGTGTGAGGAGCCTGAATCATACATACTTGTTTAGTTATTCTCTGTAATTTTGTTACTGTTTTGTGTGAATACCAGTAACTTAAGTTCATTTTTGTAAATTATGCAATGCTAATGTAAAATGATAACTCACCTTATCTTTATTTTACAAGAATGCCTTGCATTGCACCCTGTATTTAGTTTTTCTATACCCTTAATTTACTAAAGGTCTGGGTGCAATACTGCTGAGCTCTGCATTACTGGGAAAACACATAGTGGCCACAGGACAGTTGAAAGGGGTGATACTGTTACATTAAGTCTGTAGACCCACTAGTAAAATAATGTTCCCTAGAAGGTTTTGGAGTTTAAAAAAGGTATTAAGTCTTTTGGCAAACATCAGGAAGTGGAAATGAATTAGATGCAGGATGTTTTTCTAGCCTTCTGTGTAATTAATGTTGAATGATTGACTAAGCAGTGATCTTTATTACAGCATGACAATAATTTGAATTTATTTGTGCTATCAAGTAAATGGCCAGTTTTCTGAAACGTGAATTCTAAGATTCTGGCTATTAATGGTTGAGTGACATAGGTCATGACTCCTCCTTCTTCTGCATGTTCTAAGCTATAACAAGGTCTCAGCTATGCAAGTGCATGGGCCGCAGCTCAGAACATGTATTTTGTGTACACAAGGTTCATAGTGCTGTGTCTGGCACCTTCAGTTCATGGATCAGTGGTGGCAAGACCGGGAGAGACCTCTGCCTCATACCCTGGTGAACACCTGCTAACTGGTGCCCAGAACTTAGTAGTAGGGAGTGTGACTTGAATGACATGAGTTAGCTTTTCTCCTTTCCTGGTGGCTGTGGCAAGATAGGTGGAAAGCATGGTGTCAGTTGCCGAACTGCTGCCCCAGCCATAGTTTGCAAGGGTCAGGAATGGGTGGCCTGTACCACCCTCTTTTATGGTTATCTGGATTGAGTAAGTGCAGATTTTGTTGTGGCTTTCCCCACACTTTAGGAAAGGGGCAGGCAAACTTTTTTCTTCTGAAGTTTGTGTTCTGTCACATGTAATCTCTCGGGGCCAGCATGTAAGTGGTGGACCAGGCCAAAGCCAGTGTGGACCAGTGCCAAAAGTGGAGGAAGGGTCTCCCCCTTTTTACTCCCTCCCCCTTCATTCCTGCCTGCAGCCCACCACTGGAAGGACAGATTGCTCTGATGGCAGAATGAGGGCTTTTGAAGTTAGATGGAGGGTGGCAGGCAAGCAGAGCTTCATAAGTTGCCTGCCTCTCCATTAGGATCTGTGCATTAGTATAAGAACTCCTAAGGATAGTCATCTCCTAAGGCCCAGTAGCCTTGCTTCCTACTAGTCTCCTGTCTCTTCAGATCACAACCCAGTCTGGAGACAGATTGAGAGGATTTGGTCTCACAGCTAGGTAATACTTCTTTCCTGCTCCCAAATGCTTCTGAATGGGTTTCCCCTTCCTCTAACCAGGTACATTCTGAAATGTTATGAGTATGGGGAAAATCCAGTAACTGTCATAACAATACCCTAAGGAAGAGTTCATAGTAATGACCTGCTCTACAAGTCTTAATAGTTGTTTCTGTGCATTATATCCAGCCCTCTGAGAAGTCAAAAAAGTGGTGCAGACAAGCCCTATAATAAGCATATAGCCCTGTAAGTTCAAAATTGGCAAGTTGACTTTCAGATAGTGTATAAAATGTTCACTAGTGCCTCTTCTGTTTTGTTCAAGTCAATTTAAGGTGTTGCATGTAGTAATATAGTGCTGCAGCAATCTTTGGACAGAGTTCTTGTGATTTCTCCCACTTGTTTCATTTTGGTAAGGCTCCTCTCAATATATTGGAGTCCAGATTCAAAACAATGAAGGAATACTGTCATCAATAAAGTACTTACACTGAGATTGTATTTTTGCATTACGAATTAGGACACTAGAGCAAGGCATTTTTTTCAGAGTGTGTTAATTAGCTCAAGCATATGCTTTCAGTAATTGATCAATGTAAAAATAATTTGTGCAAGCATTTGGAATACAACAGTATGGTGCCATTATAGATCTGTAAAAATGTTAAGCACACTCTTCTGTACTTTTAAACATGTACACGGACTTCTTTTTTAAGCATATTAGACTTTAGAGCATGTTGTTGTAGTATTTGCTATAAAATAAAGCACAAACAGGTATGAGGAATCAAGCAGTTTCAGCCAGCATATTTTTACCATACATTACTAATCCTAAGCACTGGTGTCAAGGCATTCAAAGTGCAAACAAATGTTGGCTTTGTTTCACTATCTTTGCATTTTACCAGTTTGCACTGGGCAGTATTCCAACATGATAACGACCCCAAACACACCTCCAAGACGACCACTGCCTTGCTAAAGAATCTGAGGGTAAAGGTGATGGACTGGCCAAGCATGTCTCCAGACCTAAACCCTCTCAAGCATCTGTGGGGCATCCTGAAATGGAAGGTGGAGGAGCACCTAACATCCACCAGCTCCATGATGTCATCATGGAGGAGTGGAAGAGGACTCCAGTGGCAACCTGTGAAGCTCTGGTGAACTCCATGCCCAAGAGGGTTAAGGCAGTGCTGGAAAATAATGGTGGCCACACAAAATATTGACACTTTGGGCCCAATTTGGACAGTTTCACTTAGGGGTGTACTCACTTTTGTTGCCAGCGGTTTAGACATTAATGGCTGTGTATTGAGGTATTTTGAGGGGACAGCAAATTTACACTGTTAGACAAGCTGTATACCACTTTACATTGCAGCAAAGTGTCATTTCTTCAGGGTTGCCACATGAAAAGATATACAGTAGACTCTCGACTATCTGGCCTCTGTACTATCCAGCCTAGTTAAAAAATAACTATCGGTAAAATAAGTAAAATAAGTTTAAATAATTTTTGTAAGAATTAAGCCTATGTTTTACATTCATGTTTTGTTTATTTTAAAAGTGTATGTATTCATACTGTACAGTGTACATGGTTTTATGCTTCCTGCAATTAAGTTAGACATTATAAAATTTATCTTAAAACGTGTACAATATTTTTATCCTTGGATTTCCTTTTTCTGTAATAAATTTTTAAAACGTACAGTACAGTACATAACAAACATTTATAAAGTACTGACCTGTACTAAGAGGTCAGAAAATATGAATAAGAGTGGGTTTTGGTATAAAAAGTGTGTTTTT